TTTTTGTTGTCAGAATTCTTGTGTAGTACAATAGAGGGGCAGGTCTTTTCAAACCCACCTGTAAACAATATATTATCAAACAAAGCACATTATCATTATTTGGTTATTTCCCCCTCACAGGACTGCCACCATTCCCGAAGGAGTTCTCACATTGGGGTTTAGCCCCGCGCAACCAGAACAAGTTTTGCGGGCAGCCTTGTACAGTGCAATTCCGTGCCCCACTGTAATCTAGGTTATAATTTATACACATAGCTTTAGTGGGAGAAGCCATACTTATGTGTTATCAGAATTAAGTACATGAATATGAGACTGTAGGGACATTTAAGCCCATGGATTCCGAAATGTTGACCCCAAATAAAAAAAAACTTTTTTTTGGAGCAGTGGGGGCTTAGCCCTTTTATCTATGGAAGCTACTACCCTCAAAAAGCCCAAATCTACAATAAAAATGGGTGATGGACCCCAAGTACCTGCAAACATTAGGCTGACAGGCCAATTTTTTTTTGCTGGTGATGGCTTGGCTAAAAGTGGACATACTTCTACAAAAGTTGGTTAGTTCAGCCACAAAATTTGGGGGCCAGACTGATGTATAAAATCTTTATGAAGGCTGGAATGAAAATGATCCTCAAATCATGGGATGGCCAGATTAAGTTTTGGGTTCTTATATGAACATCAACAAGATTTCAGCAGTGGATGTTGGTCAGAAATTGAAGGAGAAGGCTACATATGCTGTGAGCACCACTTTTGAGAAAAATGGATTGTTTAAGGGTTACTGTCAAATCTGCAGACCTTGCAGATAGTGCTTTAGACCCCAAAAAGCCTAACATTTTGCAGGAAATCTAGCTTTATAGCCAGTACATCTGGCTGTCAAATGGAGGACTTCCTGTTGCAATTTAGAGTGTTTTTTAGACCCTCTCAGTTCTAAATTAACCTCTAATCAAAATTGCAACTAGCTTATGTGAGGACCTTCACTACAAGGCGTCTGAAATAGGATTGGTTTGCCAAACAATGAACACCTTTGTGATGTGAATCAAATTCTGTGAGGGCTGTGAATTCCAACAGGAAGTTATCCAATCAAAATTCATCTTTTTTTCAAGTTTGTGAATCTAGGAGAAGGTCCAAAACCATCTTTGATGGTGGAAATTGATTGAGATTGAGTATCTACTAGCAAATAAGTTTTTGGCTTCCTTCTTGGATGTCCTGAAATGCTTTTCACAAACACAATGCATACAACATTAAAGAAAAAAAATCAAAAAAGGAGTGCTGGAACAGCAGAAAACCTGATGGTACAGTGTTGGGTATTGTGGCATACCTTAATTACATCTTGACTGAAGTACATGTGGCAGGGATTGTAGTTACAAGGCCCATCAACTCTTCTTGAATGTAACCCCTTGGCTGATAAAAAAGGCACAAATTGAGCTGAATGATTAAATGATGCAATACTCACACTACAAACATGTAATCAGAATCAAAAAGATGTTGGATCAAACATGTCACAAGAAAATATGTGGTAGATGCCTGTAGGAAGCCCCCCAAGAGTATTTTAACCTGTTACAGGCAATCTCTTGCCATGCAATACATATTATCCTGTTCTAAATTCCATGTAGCATCTTTGGATTCATATTACATGTAATTATTTGGCTCAAAGTTTGCCTTTTTTTCAGGCAAGGGGTAGTTGAGAAGAGGTGATGGGCACTGCAGACTATATAGTGAAGATGGAGTGTTTTGCATATGGGATCCCCTCTCCTATGCATGGTGTTCAGATTTTGATTTCAGTTTGAAGAGAATCAAAGGAGGTACATCCAAAAACCAAGAAATCTTGTGTTTGGTAGGCAGGGAATTTAAAAGAAAATTGTTTCTTAGGAAGCTTTGGAAGAATAAAGTAAATTCATGATTCCAAAGCTTCCCCTCTCTTCCCTCTCTTTTCCAAGGCCTCCCCCCTCCCCTTTTCTCAAACAGATGCAGCTTCCCCCACACTGCAAAGGGAGTTGTGTTGGTTACAACCCCCTGCACCCAGGGTTTACTGGGAGGCAACCAATATAAAAGTTGGTCTTCCAAACCAATCTTATATCAGTTGAGCCCAAAAATGAATTGTAACAAAGTATTATGCATCAATGGGCCTGGCAAATATGAAATTGCTCTGGCAGACCAATCTTCTATCAGTTGCCTCCAGGTGATACTACCACAGGGGGTGGTAAAAAACACAACCCCCTTTAGCAGTACCATCCACAAAATCCACCCAAGCCCCATCCAACAATTCATCCACCTGGGATCCAACCATCATTCTTTTTCCTCCTATTAATTATCTACCCAATCATCACACATCATACTCCTTCATTTTTGAAGTTTTAATTTGTTTCTTGGAGCATCAATATTAGAACTCCCTGGAAAATAAAATCAAATATTTTGTTTTGAAAAAATCTTGTGCTGATGTATGCCCCACGTGTGTACTCCAAAACTATGATTTTCCAGTTTTGTTTTTTGACGCATGTGTGTGATCTGACCCAAAGCCCAACCCACACTTGAATCCTACAATCAATGATATTTTATCTCCAAAAAACAAAGCAACAAAAGATGCCCCTTCATTATTGGAACCAGGGTTGGAGCCTGAAAGTTCACCCTATTGCCAGCAGCCAAACCCAGGATTTTGATGGGGAACCCCCTCTTTTTGGGTGGTTTTGGCCCAAGCATCCTCTTGAAAATGAGATGAATGTTCAGCAAAAGAGGTATGAATTTAACAAAATCCAGACTTTTTCAACACCCTCCTGTTGGTGGTCCTGCTGGGGTCCTCATGCAAGGCAATTATTCTAACACTACAAACAATACCAGTTTTTCCCCAGGAAAAAATTGCTGTTTTGGTGGTGGAAAATAGATCAATTTGCCTGAGGCTTTTCTACAAAATGACTCAGGAGTAAAAATTAGGCTAAAATGAGCTATTTTAGCCAAAAAAAACCTCAAATGAGCTAAAAGTTAATTTTGGAATGTTTGAAGCATTTTTATTTTTGGGCTGAAATAGCTCATTTTGGCCTAATTTTTACTCCCAAGTCATTTTATAAAAAAGCCTCAGGGAAATTGATCTATTTTCCACCACCCAAATTGCCATTTTTTCCTGGGGCAAAACCAGTATTGTTTGTAGTGTAATTTAGCCTACATGCATGGATCACATAATGTATACAAGTGAAAAGAAATATTTTCAGATGTAACTTGTAAGTGAATCTTTATGTAAATATGGGGGTTGTACTGTATTGAGGGCGTCTGTGTGTTGAGTTTTTCAGCTCTCTGGTCTACTCTTCCCCAAAATCACTCCTTTCTTCACCTTTCTTTCTCTCTCTTTTCTTTCATGAATCATCCTGAATTGGACTGAAATGTGGTCTTCCACTGCTGGTTTTTTGTTGAATCTGCAATTTTTGGAGTCTAATTAGAACTATCAATAGCAATTTTCCCAACAACTCCTGTCTTTATGATTGATTCCTTTCATTTTCTATTTCACTATCTGATTCCTAAAAACTAATTATTTGGAATTAACGCCTTCAAATATTTGTGCTAGAATGTCTGATTTTTCTTGATTAACTTTTCTTGTCTGACTAAAAGAGACTGAGAAGTCCGGCTAAGATTGTTTCTTCCAGAGACTTTTGGAGGAAGATGGATCAAGAAAGACCATGCTAAATATTAGATAAAGTTAGGTTTTTGAGATGATTATGGTTTGTAAATTGTCAATGAATTCACAGTAGTGCAATGTACATCAGTCATGGGGGACAATTTACAACACTGTAGAGGGGTCAGGAAGGAGTACATCAAACAGAACAATTGAGATATGGGAGAGACAAAAAAGGGGTTTCCTGCGTACCAAGTGATCTTGGTTTGGCTTTGGTAGGCTGCACATGCAATTGCACATACTACTCATTGAGTGTTTTTTTTTATCTCAAGCTGATGCTTTTCATCCATTTTCTCTATTTTTTGTCTTTATCTTGACCCATTTTCCCCTTTTTATTCATTTTATTTTCATTTTGCTTCATTTTTTCATACTTTTTTTTTTATTACTGTGTGGTGTTTTCATGCTACTGTGTGTTATATATTTTCTGGCTCTTGTTGTGGGTTTGATTGATTTTTTTTTTGACTGGAACTTCAAGTTGTAGTCTCATGATCAATTCAGAGGGTTTGACTGGCCTTGTAGTTTGAACACCATGGCTCGCAGGTCTCACTGCCACTTGCCGTACAACCAGGTCGCTTGTACACTCCCGGCCATCCTGTAGATTCACTGCCACCATCGGAGTCGACATGTGGCTTAACATTGCTGGCCAGTCCGGTGACGTGCGCCTGGGAAGACTCGAGGCCGGTCATGATATTGTGGTCAGGGGGCGCAGCCAGCATACTGCCAATGAGGGTGGTAATGGCGAGCACGATGAAGCACTTCATAGTTAGAGCTTTATTTATCGAGTTGGATGGACCAGCGGGAGGTTCGAACTGATAACGTTGGAGCTGCTAACGATGGATGGGCGATGTTACAGGGTCTTCTTATCCGTCAGGTTATGGCGGTAGAATTCAATGCTACACAAATGTGCTCAAGTAGTGTCCAATTTGATGCTGAAAGAGCTAAAAATCTCAGAGCAAACCTCAATATATCTCCGCGAGTTGCTTCCCATCAACTGACCTCTACCTCCCTCGCACCTGACAGTTCTCAGAATGGATGAGGGCAATGGAGTGTTAGAGTTAGAGCCAGATTTTTAACATCACTCCTGTTGAATTCCACCACTTATTAAGACCTGTCTTTTCAGACAAGTCGAATTGATTAAAGGCCATCCGGCCAGTTATAATGGTGATTATACCGATGGCAATGCATCTGCTTCTAAAAGCCACAATCTTGAAGACGCCTCAGTTGCATGTGCAGCGTAAGAGGGCGTTGCTGAGCTCTTTTCTATCGAATTCAATAAATTCTTCAAGAAATATCTTGCGGGCCAATCAGCATTGTGGAGGGCATGCAAGTTGATAAAGCTAGTGTTGAAAGCTTTGTCGAAGCATGCCTCCATGTCCTTCAAGGCGATTAAGTAGATCAACCAGGCTTACCGCGGTATGAGGTTGGGTTCCTCCCATTCAGATTGGCATGCTTGTTCCCGTTGCTTCATGCAAATGATGGTTTTATGAGCAGTGGAGCTAATGACCCCCAACCCCATGTCTGACCAGCTAGGTTGTTGGATCCTCGTTCATTTAGTTTCACACCAATCCAGAAAACAACTGGGCATAGAAAAAATGGGGAGCCCTTTGGGAAGCCATTTCTAGGCAAAAAGATGACTGGATATTACAAGGGGTTGACTGACGATACCAAAAGACATTGAAACAACAAGTGGGTTAAACAGTTTGTCTAAGCGTTACACAGCAAAGAGAAAAAGATGATGAGAGAGAGAGAGAAGGCGAGTAGCAAAGCAAGAGTAGTCCTAAATTTGAACAAGAATCGGATTCATTATATCCCGCAACCTTCCAACCTCATATCATGATTGGGAGAGAAAGAGATGGAGAGCTCAAATGTGGAAAGATCAAATGTGCACAAAAATGTACGTGAATATTGGTGGTTCTACGTGTCATTGTGTTTGAGTAATAACGAATATTCTTGACAAATCGGCCGGAATTCTGGGTTCTCATCTACTCATAACATGTAATAATAGGGTTTTTTCACACAAGGAAAGTTGTGCCATTAGTATGTTATATTTCTTCATGTGAATGAAGCAGAAATATGAAATGATAGAATAAAAAGAAAATGCTCACCGAGAACTTCGATGACTTGGTACAAGAGTTTAATTCGTTCCATTCTTGAAAGTTTAAAGGTTGGGGTGGCCGATAGATATTTGCTATTCCGATTACTTCTGTAGAGAAAAGACAGAGTAGAAGAAGATTTGTTTTGCTCAGGTCAACAAGTCGAACAACACAAAGAGAATAGGAACGGGGGGCGAACATCCAACCAGAGCCTGTCCATAATTCATGACAGAGTTCATCGACGACTTGAAATCGATTATGATCTCTCAAGAACCTAACATGATCGACAATACAACCCAAAAGATCTGGTTTGTTTGCTGCCAGGACCAAGGCCGAGTCAACCAGGAACGGAGAACCGGAAGGGAACTTGAGCTGCCGATGATCCAACCGATCCTTGTCTTTCATCTCATCCATCGTGTGACCCGATAAGACCGTCCAACTCTTTAGATCTTCATCGAATACGAACAGACTTTCTTTCCTTACTTTCACGATCGGCGCCCCTTGGTGGGTCAGAGCTGTGAATGAAATCAACGCTCTTGAGTCACACAGATGCTTCAATTTACTAGGTCCGCTAATGGCCTTGAAATTGGTAAGATCCCTGTGTTCACAGACAATCGGAGTGAGCCCAAATCAAGAGCGAAATGCAAGAAATGGCAACTGACCAAACCATCACTGTTCCTTTTAACGAGATAGACATCAACAAGTTTCCCCTGAATTGTATCTTGAAGCAAGGACAATCCAATACGATCACAGGCATAACTCTAAACCGGCCGGTTTTAATCATCAAACAAAGTCTCCTATCAGATCATGTGTCCATTTTCTTCCTCTTTATTCATGGCAAATAAAGACAGCAGGAAAACTGCAAGAAAATACCGAAGTTGCTTACCTGCGACCGGCATAACTATATACTGACAACGATTTATCACTCAGTCCAATAGCAACATGTGATGTACTCAGAGAAGCAGCAGTTATTGATTTGTCTGAGAATCGTTCTTTCCAGAGTTCTTCTTTTTTGTCGGTTTTATTTGATGATAGGACAACTTCTGAGCATTCAGCTGATTGAAATCAACAGCAAAAGCACAGGATTGAAAGAGCTGATTAAAATTCGAAACTGAATCACTGTCGGATTAAATGAACCATCGGGCTTACCATCCATATCTCCTTGAGTGTTTTCACAATTGACTTGAAATTCGGTTTGATTGCAATGGACCCTCTTGAGGATTCGCGTAGGCATGGCTATCGGTTCTCCCCATTTACCGAAATCATTCCAATGCATGATTTCGGCTAGCTCGCGTGATACTGAGTTGGAGGAAATCAGGTCATCGCTGAGATACGTTGGAACTGCGTGGCGCGTTGGAAGAAGTGTTGAGGTGCTAGGGGTCGCTTGTGGAAAGCGATTAGACTGAGGGAATAGAGTGTGTGAATTTTGAGACGAGTTGGGTTGCTGCACTGGGGTTGATGCATGGCCATTCGGCATGGCGCTGAGGAAAATGGCAGATTCATTGGTGCCCAAGAACGCCGGTTTGATTCTCCGCTTCCCATTCGGCATGATGGTCATCTCTTGTTGGGTGATGAGGGTATTGGATGGCATAGAATTTGGGACCAAGGCCGAAGGGGGAGGTGAGGAACGACCGGGCCTGTAAGGCCCGATAGGCGGCATGGGTGATGCATATCTTGGGGCGAACGGGGTGGAGGAAGAACGAGATTTCTGGCTACGTCGATCAGGTTTCGTGAATTCATAGGTTTCGAGATATTTTGCCTTTGCCCCCGGAGGTGCCACCGCGGCAAGTGTGGTTAATTCGTTAATCACAAAAGCGGCGACTCGACCTTCAGAGGAGCAGGCATATAAGGTAATCCCATCAGCAGCCCAACTGAGATCGAGAATGTCTCGATCAAAAACATCGTGTAAGACGACGATTGGACAGCTACTGCAGTTATGCCAGATTGAGACCGAATTGCGGGCTCCGAGGGCAAAGACTGTGGATAGATTGGGTCCTTCGATGGGTTTGGATCGATCCCTCAAGAATAACAAGGGGTTGTAGGCAGCAACTTCAACTACGTTCTCGTGACCAACCAATGAGATGTTACTAGTCCACTTGCATCGATCGATCACAGCACTGACAAAGACGGGTCCATTCATCGCGTTGGGGGTGACAATGTGAGTACCATCTGGTGACCAGCTCAATCGCCTAAAGAATGAATGGGGAGAGTTGACAAATGGCTCCTCGATATCAGCTTCCAACTTCCAATCGGTCGTCCTCCAGATCTTGACCGTTCGATCGTCAGATTGGGTAGCAAGGTATTGACCAACGGGATCCCAGACAACCCCATTGACGTGTCCCTGATGAAGGTCCAATCTTTTGAGTAGAACGAACGCGGAGTCGAGACAATCCCAGATGAGTACCAGGCTATCTAATCCGACCGATGCAAGATATTGGTCATCTTCAGACCAGGCCAAGCCCTGAACGTCTGATGTATGGCCGGCTAATCGCTTAAAACATTTCCAATCTTCAATATTTGCCGTCTTTGATCCAAACGACTTGGACTGCCCGGGACATCTAAAGAAAGCCGCAAAAAGATAAATAAAATAAAATTAGTTCTGAGCAAAAAAAAAAATAGATTGAATGATTCAAGATAAGATATTCAATTAGAGACTCGTTGAAGGGAATGGAAGGAATGAGCTACCGAAGCCACACCATGATAATCGAATCATCACTACCAGTGGCGAGAAACGCACCACTAAAAGCCCATCTGACACATAGGACGGCACCTGGAGAGGAAAACAAGACGAGCTTCGATCAATGCTCAACTGGGGTAAATAGTTGGATGTGAGATGAATTAAGAACGGAAGCTGATAACTTACCATCATGCCCTTCCATAGCACACAGCAGACGGGGTGCTTTTTCTTCCCCGGTTTCCTCTACGGCCGGGTCGAGTATGGGGGCTGTTGACCATATCTTGACGACGTTCTGAATACTGCCAGTTGCTAATCTTGTCCCGTCTGGATGAACATGGGCCGAGTAGATCGTCTGTGGGTTTCCCTTGTCATCTGGATGGATGACCCAATTGGGTTTGATGATCCGCATTGCGTTCTTTTCTGATTTGTTGTTGTTTTTCTTTTGCTTTTCTCTTTTCTTTTTGCAAGTTTGTAGTTGGTTGGTTTTGACAGTGAATTTTCTCAGCAGTGGGCACAGCTTCCATTTTGGGAGGCTTTATATATGCATCCATTGACCATTCATGACACCCTCTGTGACATCCCCTGACCTGTTTGGTAGGAAGTGAGTGACCTTGGTCAGTTGAAGCCCATTAAATGCAAGCTGTCCTTCAGAAACAGATCATGAAACTCAATCCTTCCAGGGGAACAAACCTTGATCATGAAAAAGCAAATTAGACTGACCCAGGATTTTGGCTCCTCCTTCAGGGGTCACATTCAGGTAAAAATGATGATTGGGCCATGTTTCCAATGTGAGGCTCATACCTGCCAGACAGGTTTGGAAGGGGGTTCAAATTGGCAGCACTTTTAATGTTATTTTATTTTCTCCTGGTCCATAAAAGCATGAAAATAACATGTGTTGGTGAAGGCTGGTGCCAGTGGATACCCACAGGCTTTGACAACCTGATCTGGATCTGACAGATCCTACTGGATACTTGACTCAAATTTCTACACCGCATATGTTGAGTTATTGTTAATAGACAGTGGTTGCCCAACCCATCTGATTACATACCATCTCTACAATTGAATTCCGACTCATGACTGGTTGCACCCACTCAGTTAAGGATGAAAACAGCCCTAACCCCCCTAAACCCTAACCCTAAACCCTAAACCCTAAACCCTAAACCCTAAACCCTAAACCCTAAACCCTAAACCCTAAACCCTAAACCCTAAACCCTAAACCCCTAACCCTAAACCCTAAACCCTAAACCCTAAACCCTAAACCCTAACCCTAACCCCTAACCCCTAACCCCTAACCCTAACCCCTAACCCTAACCCCTAACCCCTAACCCCTAACGCTTAAAGCATGACGGCAGACCCGTTCTGGGTGGCGCTAAGGTTACGTCATAGGATTTTACTTTTGGAGGGATTGGAGTGAGATTCTCTATGTGTTAGA